GACGGCATATAAAATGATTTTGGCCGCACGCTTCTGTAATTTAAAGACTCTGTAAAGTGATTCCTTGTCACATGATGACCAAATGACGTCAACATAACTCATTACTGGGCGAATAATGGCATTATAGAACAACAATCGCTGTTGAAGTGACAGAAAGGTTCTGACCTATGCACGAGGCAAGCTGATCGCAAAAATTTTCAAAATGACAATCAAATATGTGCCTTCTTATTAAAAAACTGGTAAATTTAGATAATAGTATGTAAACACAGTCATGATGTCACGCTTTTTGTGCTTTGCGACACATTTGAAAACATTTCAAACTCAAAGCTTTTGCAATACTCGCAAAGCAATTTTAAGCACCAATAACAAATTTTAGAAATGGAGAAAAAATTGCCAAGTTTTGATTTAGGGTGTAGCTTTCCCTTACCCTCTGAGCTCAAGAAAAAAAAAAGGAAAGAAAAAGAAGAACTTCGGTGACTGCCTTGGTAATCGTGAACTGGATGACTTAGACGAGGGAGCTCATGCAAAGACGACCAAACAAGCAGAATCTTATACTGAAATGTAACGAACTATACAACATCTGTGTACGGTCCTGGTATTTTCTTGGCGTACCCTGACGTGTACTATCATTATACAGACCTTACACATCCTTATATTTACCGTATACAACTGAGTACACTGACTGTTTACGCCCCAGGGAAGAGTCCGTATACAGAGATTTTTAATACAGTGCAACGGCCCATCCGTATTGACTTCGCTATCGCTCGGTCAATGCAGCAAGGCCTCAGTTTGAGATCTTCCCGCAGCGACCTCACTCTCATTTATCTAGATGTTACTATCCACCTTCGAGCCGCCGAAGGAAAAAATCGCGCGACAAGAGTTTAATTTTTAACTTTTTTCCGATATATCAACAAAAATTAATTATTTTGCTTGTTTGTTTGTTCGTTTCTTCGAACTGTACGCTTAAATAATCATTCATCCCAGTGTTGTGGCTCGGAAAATGTCCACCACCATTCACCTCCACTTTGGTGAATGATTATTAAAAGTAATGAATGATTTCTAAAATGTACTGCTGACTTATCAAAGACCAATATCGAAACAAATGTTTTTAGTATACAAGGAAGTGTATTTCAGAGTTTAAATGCTGATGAGAACAACAAAAGTCTTTGCAACAGGAGACTTTGAAAGAAAATTATCATTCTTTTCTGAAACTGTAACTGGAGCAAGGCTTGACAGAAAAGCCGAACTTTGCACACGCGGAATCTTTCATAAATAAGAGTTCGGTAATCTGTAATGCAAAGCCTTACAATGATTCATTTGGCTAGTGGCAAATATAAGAATGAGAGTCTTCGTTAAATCTCCTCTAAATCATTTCCTAATTTCACCGTTGTGAAATACTTAGTAAAAATGCTGCTTTGCAAATCTGTTTATCCATTTGAGCGTAGACGTAATAATTCCAGACAACAGGAACAAAGATTCCAGGCGACTTTCCACGTACATACACAAATAATTTCCCTGGCATTGTTTGGCTGATAGGTCATGAAAATCATGTCACTTGCGAACAAAGCGAACAATTAGAATAACGTCCACGAGAAACCCAAATGACAATAGTAAAAAAAAGGTAGTCCACTTGCGTGCTCGATACAAGCACTGAGAAAGACGTATCATAATGGTTTTTTGTGTCTTTGTTTAATTTTATTTTAGGTGTTGGAGGTGGCGGAGGTGGCACAGGTGGCACAGGTGGCGCAGGTGGTGGAGGTGGATTTTATTCCAGTGGTGCAGGAAACGGAGATAGCGGTGGTAAGGGCTTTCTTCAGGGCGGATCGGGTGGACAACTTTCGTCCAGTTCTCAATTGGCGGGGTCTGGTGGATTTGGCGGTGGGGGTGGCGGGGGTGGTGGGGTTCAGTCACATTCATGGGGTAGGGGAGGTGGTGGTGGGGGTTACTCCGGTGGAAGGGGTGGAAAGTATTCCTGTGGTGGTGGGGGAGGATCTTATAATGTCGGGAGAAATCAACGAAATAACTTGCATAACTGGACATCTTCTAGTCATGGTATGGTAGATATTACGTTTTTGGGGAATCATTGAACAAAATGCAAGCATAAGCCAATTGGTCTTTTAAATCAAATACGCTCCTACAACTGACTTATTTTACATTACTTCAATCACTTATGTCGTTAATCACATCTCCACAGCCACTAAAAAACCGTGATCAAGCTGCCTTTCGACCTTTAGTTGTAGTTGGTTGGTCTAATTTAATTTCTCAAAGGAGAATTATGTTCCAGAAATTAACCACGCGACTGTTATCACCTCCATTGTTTGACGTGTTCTTGGCATTTTAGAGAGAAACCAAAGTTTTCGAAAATGGTGTTTAAATGTGTAAAGAATTCCATTTTCATAGAAGACTTAGTAATTAAGCTAAGCATTAACCTGCATACTTCTCCTTGAACGTGTTACATATATGGCAGCTGAAGAACTCGTACATTTCACAAATGTAGTTTTTCATAAAATAAATTTGTATTTCCAAGATTTAGGAAGGATTTTAGGCGTGAGAAGGTGAAATGGTCTGGGGAAACGGATAGTGATAGAAACCAGAACGCCTCATGCAATACGAAGTAACAGATAAATATTTTAGGAGAGAACAAAATTGCGAAGAACCCGATAAATCTCCTTGAGGATCTTTTGAAATCAACTTATTTGGGCAGAGTTGGCTGTGTAATAAACATTTTTCCGATCAATTCGTCGCTATCAGGATAGCTCTGGGTTAAGCTTTTGAAAAAAATTGAAGTACCTTAAAAAAATGGATATGTCTCATTAGTTTACATTGTTTGGCGTTCTGGTTTCTATCACTGTCCACTGTGGTCATTTGCATTATTTAAAATTGTCATCAAGTATGTAAGATATTATTTACTGTTTCGGGTGTGAGTAAGCATTAACCTTTTTTTGCGGCAGTAGTGGCCGTATATTTCCATGTTTCCAGGAAGGTTGACTACTTGAGAGAAACTGATGTAATTCTACAGTTTGACAGTGTTTTGCTATAATGCTGTACATCGACCGTTTGAGCTAATTTAAAAATACTATTTGTATAGGTAATCACATGATTTCGAGTGCAATTTGGAATAAATAAATTGCACACGCCCTACGGGCTCGTGCAATTTTGTTAGTCTTTGAAAAAATTTACAAGTGCTTATTTCTTCCAAATTGCACTCGAAATCATGTGATTACGTATTAAAAATATACATGATGCGCGATGGCTTATCATAATTATGTAGAAGCAAAGCGCGCGCATCAAGTGCAAAAATAACTTATTTAAACCCAGCAAGCGACATTGTGTGCTCGGTCAAAACAACTACGTGCGATCAAAACAAAAATATACAATGATATTTTCACATCTTTAAGTTGCAAAAAAGTTCAAAGTCCGGCTAAACAGTTCAAGAAATTGTTCACTCTGGTTTGTTACTTGTTTGCACTTAATTAGCCTTCTTCTGCATTGAATTACCTGAAAACTGCATTTATCCTAACAAATCAGAATTGAATAATTTTTTCACGTATCTTATTTGATATACAATATATCACTGTTGTGGTTTCGATCAAGCATGATCATAATGGATATTGGTTTTAACTTATTTCATCGGTCGCTCGACTGATTAAGGTGACTCAGAATGGTTTTATAAACGACGAAATCATATTGAGACTCGTTAAAGTTTAGATGATTGGCCCAAACTGATTATTTAGTGGCCATTTGTTCAATATTATATTGATGTACCTGTAATCTCAATTATACAAAGCAGTTAGGGTAAAATGTTGTGATTAATAAAACATTATCACAAGTCTGAACATCATTGGACAATAACGATTGGGTGAAAGTTTTCATTCTAGCTTCATATTATTAAAAATGTGATGTACCACCGTTTTTTGTAAAGATTTTGTCACTTGTAATTAAAATACTGCAAGTTTCTTTCAAGTTCACACTTTTGGACAAACGTGTTTGTGTGACGACTACTCTTTAGGTTTAGTAATGTAAATTATGTTGTCATTTGAGCATTAAAAAGATGCCGTTCGTTTCGACTGAGGATGATGGACGTTGTAATAAAACATGTTTGTCCGTTACGTTTTGTTATAAATTTATTTTCGTCCTCATTCATCTAGTTATCGTCAAAATCCTTCTAAAACTGATGCTCAAGAAACATAATGCTACAACTTAAGAAAACTCTTTTTCCTGATGTTTCCAACTTTTGTCATTCCTAGCATTCAAAGTTCTACAATGCCGATGTCTTGGGTAATGATGTAAAAAATTCACCCCCCTCCCCTTCAAGTCGCTTCAGTTTGCTAGTTTACCATTTCAACTCCTTTCCCTCTTACAAAAGTTTTTTTTCCTCTTACGAAATCTTAATAACTTCTTCTAACAAGCAAATTTCGTGCTCCCTCTTGACCGCTTGAATTTGCTTGCATACTAAATGGCTTTAAAACTTCGGCTTTGATTAACATTAAGGGTATTTAAGATTACAGAAACAGTCGATGATATGCCGAAGTCGAACAATCAAGAGCTTGTTGAGTTCGTGACTGATCATTTTCTTTATTTCGTGACCTTAATGTTTGATTCAGACGCTTATCACTGTTAGGAGTCAGAGGGGTAATGCCCAACAAGGGGTCGGAAATGAGAGATCCTTCCATTTGAGACCAGACAGATTAGTTAACTTTAAAATATACTCTTAGCAATAAATATCCCGGGCGCTTAGTTAATGGTTTTTTCAATAATTAGCTTTTAACACTTCTTAAAGCAATAACGCTCTTCCTCTAGATACACCCCACTCCCTCCCAATATAGCGTCACTTAAATACAGTTAAAGTGGAACACAAGCTGCAACTCCGGCTATTTTCAATTTCCGTAGCGAACAAAGTGTAACTACTTCTATCCTAAGAAATACTTGAACTGATGTAAGCTTTGCAGATGCAATAAGTATGAAGAGATTAAATGAAGAAACTTGCGACTAGGACCAGTACCACGTGACCTGCTCGTCAACGTGTAAGTCGATTGTGAGGGGGATTCGAACTAACAACAACAGGCTGATTTCATAAGTGAGAGTAAGAAAATGCTGTGTGCTTTCAAGTTAATCGAAACGGTTTGAAATGAAATACGTTCTGCCATAAGAAAATCAGATGAATGATTTGGAGGGTGAACCCCTAAATGTGAGGATGACGACGTTTTCTTTGATGGCGCAAATTGTTCGGCGGGGGCGAACTAGTCAGGGGAAAATATGCTATGTGGCGAAATATCCAGATAGCTTTTGCATGGTTTCTTTCAGGTACCCCGAAAACGTACTAAATATTAGTCTCCTATTATCTGAATGTGTTTCTACTGTCCGCTTTAATCATTTTATATAACGTATAAAGAGTATCGTGTAATTTAGCAGATGAAGCACAGCTGAAAACATATGCACGGTAGAGCCCAAAGACGTTTCCTTTTAAATTTAGTTCGCTTATCATGTGAGCCACCCAAAAACTTCTTATTTTCATGATCTAAATCAGGTGAATCCTGAGCTGGTCCTTCCGGAAACTTTCCAGGGATTAATATTTTAAAAAAATCTAACCCCACCCCGTGTCCTCTCGTTTGTTAAACAACATAAAGGCAAAGCCAAGAGATTATAAACTCTCCTGGCTAAACCTAAAACAAAACGACTATTGTCTGCGTCCGAAAAAATTATCAGTCGCCTTTGGCTTTTAGGGAGGTATCTAGGACAATAGAGTAGTCTTCTTTCCATAGCTTATATCTAATGCACTGGCAATATGTTTTACTCTGGGAGATAATTTCGATCGCTGCGCAAGTAATTTTAGCAGGTGTTCCTCAACATGAGGATGCAAGTCCAAGGTTCTGACAAAAAGCTGCGCACATTGAGTCCAGATTGAGTGGGATGACTTCCTGAATTTATCTTGACTACTTGATCTAAACAACTTATTTACATTAATATGAATTATCTTTATATGCCAACGCAGTAACGTTTTGCCCTTCACTTCCTGTAATCTTCTAGTAGGCAACTTTGAGAAGGACAGCATGTTTTTCCTCCTTTTTACTTTCTTTCTTTTTTCCTTTTTATTCCTTTTTCACATCTACACCACTAACATGGATGATAAGGGAGACACCAAGAATAAAGAAGCAATTCTTTAACTGAGACAGTAATTTGACGTTAGTTATCATGCATTCGTGCTATCATCCTCATTTTGATCGGCTGCCAGCACGCGGCTACCAATGGGGGATCAATAGAATACTACAGAGCGAGAATCCGGCAAATTTATATCTCCCCCTCCCCCTTAAACTTTCTAAAAATTTTCATAAATATCTTTGCCTGAACAAAACAACGAAAAAGTTTTATTTGACTTCATCCATCTGTGGGAATCTTTCTTCAACAATATCCTTTGGTATAATGATCGCAGACTGTTTCGTTTCATTGAAAAATAAAAACATTTAGGTGGTGACTTTAAGCATGACGTTTGCGACTTTACGCGACAAAAATTATTTCTAATACTCCTCACTTTTATAATATTCCCAAATCAACTCTGATCTAAATCACAATATTTTTTCCAATAATTGGCGACTGTTATGTAACTTACTCTTAAGACCTGAGAGCTCTTTACTGCATCATGTCACCGTATTATTTCGCCGCTGTCTTTTATCGACAACTAGAAACTCTAAATTTACGAGCAGTCTAGTTCGTTCCAAAATTTTTTCATAGGAGGAAGATGGTTTGACATTTTGTCAAGAGTATAATTAAAATGATAAATATGAATGATGTAAATAGAATAGGAAAGATGAAAAATTTGTATGAATATCTCAACATTTTGATTCAATCCCAAGTAAAGATGTTGAGGAAAGTTATATCGTCGCAAACATCTCAGTAACTTGATGACCGAGATGGACTGATATTAATTCATTTCCAACTTCAACGTTTGAAATCTGCCAGTTGGACATGGATCTTTGTCAGTGGCATATTAATAATTTAGATTAAATGAATAATTAAGCAGCGTTGTTATTTGGGTAAACAATACTGATTTGAGTGTTTCCCACTGAAATGTAACACAACTTAAATTCTG